ATTTTCCGATGTTTGAACTATTTTTGCATAGACAAAAGTACAAACCAGTGAAAATCGTTAATAGGCAATCGTTTGATGGGCTGAATTGCACAGAACGCATGATCACACCGGCTAGTTTGGTGCGCGTTGCTATTTATTACTTCCTTTACTACTTTATTTTTTTATCAGTTTGTAACAGCAGCTGAATGCATTTATCGGTTTCTCATAATCTCGTGACTATCCCCTCTTCCCCCCTTAGTAAGTATCATGTATTATTATTTTTTTCAGGATTTGTCGGAGCGATGTTTGTCGAAATGCATAACGAGTCCAGGCAGTTCACTGTCGAACTCTGAAAGGCAGTGCCTTCAAAGGTATTACTTATTTTGGCTGTATACTTCGGATTTTAATATTTTTTTTTTTTTAAAAATATTCCTCATAGATATTTTTTAAATACCTTTTTTGGGAGGATGTTGAGGGAGAGGGGGGAGGGGGAGGTCCTTCTGATTTTAAGGACCTTTTCCAGCTGACGATTTTGGATAGGAGGACGGGGGTAGGGTTTGAATTATTCAAATTTTCCTCGTTTTCCTCCTCAAGTCGTTATTAACCGACAAACCAAGGCCTGATGCTAGTATCAGTGGAATTCAACAACACAAATTGCTTGATTCTTCTTTGTTGCATAAACTTTTTTTCCATCAAAAACGTACTTCTTTTTTTTTTACAGGTGTATGGATCGTTTTATGGAAACCTATAATTTAGTCTCGCAATCGCTGCAGAAACGCGTACAAGAAGAAATAGCTGCCAATTCAACACGAATGACATAGGTGAAACCCGCCGTAGTACAATACTTCCTACTTTGTATTGCGTTTACGATTATGCGATTGTTCAAAAAATTCCACGTTTCACCCTCTTAGCCTTGTTTGCGGAATTCCGTTTTTGACCAAAATTACATCCTAACTCGGCTACATGTGCTGGATTCGCCATATATTCGAATTATAATAAGAATGAGGCCGAAAAGTTCGATTTTTGATGGCGAGCAGCTTGGATGCTTCTCGATTATCCGGTTTTTTTGACTCGAGACGAGGAGGGGTTCCCTAGGGGTAAATCTGCCCGTCAGTCTATTCATTTCCCGAACTGTTCCGAAAATCTGGGCCATTAACGCGGATTTCTAAGCAGTTTGTTTGAAAAAATAGGAAAAACACGTCTCCCCCTGCCCGTTTTTTTTTTTTGTTGACTAGAAACAAGGAGGGGATCTCCAAGGGGAAATCTGCCCGTTAATCTATTCATTTCCCGAATTCTTTTGAAAATTAGGGTCATTAGCGCGGATTTCCAAACAGTTGGTAAATTTTGTTTGAAAAATGGGGAAAAACACCCCTTTTCTGCACGTAATGTCAGTACCCGTTCTCTTAGCACCTGTTTCGTCTTTTTTTTTTTGTTAGTTTTTAAATTTTTTTTTTCAAAAATAAAATTTCACTCAGGTTTGCTGACTACAATTCAGACATTAGACACAGTTGAAATTTCTCTTAATTTGCTGAACCAAATAACAAGTTTTGAAGGTACAGTAATATGCCTTGAATACCTTGAACAGCTGTTGTTTCATCGATCTCTGATGTCACGCCATCGATGCAGTTGGCAACTTCTCCATTTCGATCGATCTTGAGCCTGATGAGACCAGTTGATACCATAAAGGCGCACGATTGGATCTCGCCATCGTGCTGGGTGCCTCCCCAGTTTCATTTCATCGCGCGTGGGTACCACTCCATTATCCGGTTGTCTGACATCCTTGCTACACGACCAGCCCAACTTCTTTTTCTGGCGTACATTTCTTCGATTATATCCTTTACCCCAGTTCTGGTTCTGGGCACTTTGTTGGAAATGTACTGAAGTCTGTTGACAGCAATCATTCGCCGCTGCATTGCCCGTTGAGACACTGCCAGCTTCCGCTCTTCAGCAAGAGTGGTGTTCCAC